AAGTCCCTCACTCTAAAATCAATGCCAAGTATGTGCAGTTACAGGTTTGCTGTTTTAAGTTACAGTTCAATTGATATTTAACCCTATAACACCTGAATTTTTTATTTCAGGGAAAAAATGGTTTTTTTGCTTTTATTCTTTACTTTCATAGTTATCAATATATATATTAGTATATACATGTAATTAAATGTTACAAAAATGTCGTGCTCGACATTATAGGGATAAGTAGCTGAACCAAAAATGATATTTTATTAAAATAGCAAGTATCCAAAAATAATATTGAAGCAGGTTTTTTGTTGTTATTTAGCCACTATCCCCAAAATAATTCTAATCAAGGTCTGATATGTAAAACAAACAAACAACACAAAACTATCTTTTGTTAATGTTTCAGAGATTGGAGTCCAATGGAAAAACCTCAAAAAGCCATTAGTTCTTACTGATAACTTTACTTTTGGCCATGTTATGCTGATGCTACTGGTTGATGCCTTTTTATATTCTATAGTATTCTGGTATGTGGAAGCTGTATTTCCAAGAGATTATGGTGTGCCTTACCCTTGGTACTTTTTTGGCAAGGTATGTTTTAAACAATATTGGAACAGGGTTTCTTTTTAGGCTTTAGAATTTCTATATCATTAATTGAAGTTTCGCTCATCTTTAGTATTCGTACTGGAACGAGAAGACAACATCCATTTTGCGAAGGAGAAGGAAACATTTAGGTGTGAAGAAAAATTCTGAAGAATTCTTTGAACCTGAACCTGAAAACTTGGTGGCTAGTATCCAAATAAAAAATCTAACCAAGGTATTATTCTCGTAGATCATTTTTTTCACTGAGATTTAAAATCAATTTTGGTTTGCTCTTTGTGAATGTAAATACATTTACATAGTTGAAAATTGAGAAAATACAAAAAGTAAATAATGTCTAAGAATTATTAATGTTAATTTTATTTCAAATCTCTTAATCCATACACGAAATTGCATATTTAAAATCATACTGTATAATTTTTGTCCTGATTTTATTATAACAATGTGTTATAATATTTTAGTGTACATTTTGAAAAGCTTAATTTTTATGGTTACTGTAATTTTCACAAGTTGTAAGTATTTATCTCATCATAATTAAACATGCTAGGATATGTAAAATTTTTATTGTTTAGAATATTTCAGTTCATAGATATATATAGTTCTTTGTCCACAATTCTGATTATTTATTTATAATAGGTTCCTAGAA